TCCCCAAACCCCATCGCCGTCGGGAACCCGGAGAAGCGACACTACTTTGCTGGACCGATATTCAGCAAGACCATGCAGGAGGCGCAAGAGACTGCTCTTTTTTCGACTGTTACCATCAGTTATATAGTTCACATGGCTTCTAGCGTATCTCTTCATCACCCGCATGCATCCCAATCAAAAGTGTCGGACGACGCACCTAATATGAAAAATCTCCAGGCACGGGCACGGGCTAGCAAGGAGGACCCTGCGGCGCCAAGAGCCAGTGATTCATTGCCCTCACACAGTGGCAGCCCACCAGAGCCCACAGAGGAGCTGCCTGATGTTGACCCACAAAAGCGGAGGGATCTACGTCGCGCTGCAAAGGATGCAGCAGAAGAAAAGAAGAGTGGGAAGAAAGACAAAGAGATCGCGAAGACAAAAAAACAAGCAGTGAAGGAGATCAAGAAAAAGAAGGACCAAGGAAGAGGAAAGGCCACAGGCGAAGAAGAAGAAGGAGAAGAAGCAGCCGGAGCTGACTAATGGCAAGGATGAAGATGAAGAGGAGGAGGAGGAAGAGAGAGAGAAGATGAAGAGGAGGAGGAGCTCCAAGAAGATCAGGAATTGGAGGAGGAAGAAAAGCAGCCTGCCGAGAATGGCAAAGGGGTTGCAAAGAAGAAGAAGAAGAATGAGAACGTCAAAAACAAGAACGAGAAGGAAGAAGAGCGATCATCAAAAGTGACGAAGAAAAAGAAGAAGGATGACAAAGATGCAGAGCAGCCAGCCAAAGGCAAGGTTGCAAAAGGCAAGAAGAAGGAATCGCAAAAAGCGAAGGATGAAGAGGAGGAGGAAGAAGAAGAAATGAAAGGTAATGGCGCAAAGGATGCAGAGAAGAAAGCATTGAAAGCCAACAAGCACAAGCAAGATGAGAAGAAAACGACCAAGAAGAAGAAGGAAGAGGAGGAGGAGGAGGAGGAGGAGGGGGAGGAGCCGCCAAAGGCAGCCAAGAAGAAAAAGGATGACGAAGGCAAAGAAGACAAGAAGAGCAAGAAGAGCGACAAGAAGAGCGAAGACAAGAAGAATAAGTGCGAGGAGGAGCCGTCAAAA